CCTAGTCCAGCTGCCTCCTCGATGCGGCCCTAGAGCGGTCCCTTGGCCCCGGGATCCTCCTCGCGTTCTTGCAAGGACTGCTCCTCGGCCGCGAGCCGAAGGAGCCCCAATTTCAACAGATGGAGCTGAGCAGCGTTACGCTTAGCCATATCTGCATTGGTGAGACAGACGACCGGAAGGAGCGGATGAGGCATCCATCGCATCGACGATCCGATCCGATCAATGGGGGCCCGTATGACCGCCAGGTCTATCGCCGCTCGGCGGTCCGACTTGGCTTCGGAGGCCAGCTTGGATAAAGTGTCGCAGATCACTTTTGCGTCGACGACGCTCACGTTGTCAGCTGGCCGGGGAGGACCCAACACTTCGCATTGGTCTTTCAGCAGGGCGACGAAAGGACCAAGATTCTCTCTCCAGCGCTCGTTCACCACATTTCCACGGGCGACGTCCAGCAGGAGAATCTGCAGCCACTCGGCTTCCCCAAGAGCACTAGAAAGAGCCAAAGTCTCCCTGGCCAGAGTTGACGCCACTTGGCGCCGAAGTTTCCCGGACCTCCAGGCAAGGGGGGTAACTCGGGCCCGGGGCCCGTGGACCAGCGAATAATCGGCCATGTAGATTTGCCAGGCCTCCTGATGATGCCGAGGCCCCCACATATCCTCGACCCCCACCCCTCCACAATCACTCGCCGTCGCCGGCACAAAACCGTCTGGCTTAAATCGCCAGACGATGATCGGGAGAGAGGCTGTCGACCTGAGATGGTCGACCATCTTGTTGGCATCCAGCAAGTTCTTCACACACGGGCCGTTGACTTTCGTGGCCAGAATAGAAGCCGTTCCCGCGGCCTCGGCGCGGGTTCAACTTCCAACCTACTGAAGCTTGTAAACGAGGCTCCTAAAAGCCGCCACCTCTCCTCCAAGGGCCCGCATGATCCCCCCTACGTCCTCGGGCCAGAGGGATCTTGTGAAGCTGTTCCAGGATATATTTCTCTTGATCGACCAGACTCCGGCCCCCGGTGAACCGAAGCCCCCGGCCTATGTATTCCACCCCCGCGGCGTCCAGAAGATTCATCTTCACGAACGTGAAACGTGCCTGAAAAGCGTCCAGGTCGTTTTTCTCTTTGCTCTCTCTGAGCGCCATGGCCCAGTCGTCTACTTCCACCAGCACCTGCGCCTGCAACTCGCCGCGGGCTCGCTCCACGAACCAGCTAGGCTCGAGCTTAGTGCGCTCGAAGCCCCGCGACTTCATGAAATTGGCCGCGGTGCGGTGAAAGGCGAGCGGCGCGTCGTCTAGGCCGTAGACGGGCGCTATCAACTCGATGAGTGAGCCGGGCGGAACCAGGGCCCCGTCGCACGGTTCCACGAACGCTCGGCCTCGAGCACGCTTAAGGGGTTCGGACTGACAGAAAGCATTTTTGATGTCACCAGTATAGATAGTAAGACGGTACATAAGAGACGTCACAAGGAACAACGCGAGGGCCCCCATGCACGGGGCAGGGGCATGCACTTGGAGTTCTGTCGCATACTCGTCTTGATGGCCCCGAACACACCACCTTGATTTAGCTTTCTCCTTCGAAAAAGTTCCCTCCTGCGGTTTCCACCCCCGAACCATGCGACTCGAAACGATCCGGCCCGGGAACAACCGGCGAAGCTCACTGGCTTCCTTGGGGGGGTGCACTATCACAGCCTTGGTTCCCTTGGATATAGCTTTCCACTCGCTCGCATCTGAGATGTCGAATTCCCTCTTTTCTTCTGGGCTAAGACGCTTGCATTGAACCTCGGCACCTCGATTGGCCAGGAGGGCAAAGGAAACGGACCCGTTTTCCCCGGGGACGATTTCCACATCGGCGTTTCCGTTGGCGTAAGTCTCCCTAGACCCACTCCATCCCTGGGACTGGATTTCCTGCTCTAACTGGTCGAGAAGGTCGACCTCCTCGTCCACGTGGGCAAGAAGGGCCATAGCCGTGGCCCCGCCGTTCTCGGCACGGTCTCCTCCTCGTGGCGAGTGAGACCTCTGTCGGGCGGGAGCCTCGAGCTCTCCGACCTGCCGTCTCACTCTGCCCTCCTGAACTCCCCGAACGGCCTCTCCTGGAGTGCGAGCCATTCTACCACTCCCTCCGTCCAGGCGCCTAAGCCCTTCGGTATCCTGCATCAAGCGAGTGAGCCGACCGGGGTCTACTGGCTCCGCTGGGCGATGCTGAGAGGCAGAATCGGCCACCGCAAGCCTAGGAGCACTGGCAGGCGGGACACTGGCAGCCGAGGCTTCAAATTGAGGGCCGTCGTGAGAGGCGACGCCTGGCCCCCTGCCCCTCTTTTCACCATGTGTGGGAGTGGATTTTGAGCGAGTAGCGCGGCCCGAATCGCCGTCTCGCCCCGCGTCGCTGCGAGCTCTCTGCGACTGCCCCGAGGTCTGCCATGAGGGCCCAGACGAGACCGGAACCTCAGATCTATTCTCCAGGGATTCTGGGGCTCGCGCCCCTTCGGAATGAGCTGGGAGGGCCGCCTCTTCAGGAATCGGAACAAGACCTGGAGGAGGCAAAGGTGGGAGAGCTCCTGGTTGACCCCCCACCCACCCCCCTTCTCCTGAAACGACCGAAGGAAGCACTATGTCGGGGCCCTCCTCTGCGGCGGCTCCGCCGTCAGCCTCTACAGCGGGCGCCGCCTCGGGAGGAGAGGCGACCTCTACGGGAGCGTCTGGAGCCCATGCTCGGGGGGGGGGGGGGCGGCCCCTCGCTGGCGACGTTTGCCCCAGCTCGACGCGCACTAGTCCGGGCCTCCCTGAGAAGCTCTTGGACAGACGAGTCTGCGAGAATCTCCGCTCCCCAGGACTCTTCGGCCGTGGCCAACCGGACCTGCTCGGTGGAGCACTTCTACAGTCGAGACCTCATCGCCATCCAAACCGACGTGCCGTTTTACAGCACCACGAGTCCCGGACCGGCCCATCTGCCCCTTTGAAGGGCGAAGGTTTTCTGGCCCCCCCGGGGGAAGCCCTCCCCCAGACGTGAACCCACTGACCCGGGGAAAAGTGCTCGTCTCGATGGATGGGTGCGCGCGCTGCCTTAGCCAGACGACGTTGGTTGGACGACTCGAACAGTTCTTGTCGGACCAACCTCCTGATGGCGCCCCTGCGGGCGAACTCGGCCGCCGCGGTGTCCTGATCCCAAGAGCCGGGGGACAAGTCATCCGTTCCCACCACCTGCAGAAGGTCATCAGACGTGATGTCGCTGGGCATTCAAGGGTTAATGCCGAAAACCATCTGGCATGGAGTGAACCCCCCCCGATGCAGGCACCGATTCTTCGCGGCCGTCACTTCGTGAACCAGCGTTTCGAGTTCCAGCGCGGCGGTGACGAGGATGGTCTCAGAGGCCCGAACCTGAATGTCCTTAACCCAGCCCCCGTGCCTCTCGGCCCGGCCATTCTGCCACGGACTCTCCGACCCCGTGACATGCTGAACGGCCCCAGGTGGTCCAAACCTCGTTCGAAATGGCCCCGAAACTCTGGCCCTCCGTCCGCAATGGCCCGAAGGGTCTCACCCAGGCCCTCATGAAGGCCCCCCAGGCCCCCAGGGCCGCGCCATCGTACATTTCCACAACCTGATAGTTAGGCCCACGACACATGACATTGAGAAGCGCCAGCTGTTCCTCCTGAAAGGTGGCATAAGAACGTATCTTGAGCGATGATGCAAATAAGCTCGAACGCCCTAGGTACCGCCACGAGGCGACTGCCAGCTGGACGAGAATGCGCGGCGCAGTCGCCGCATCGGCACTCGCCCTGCACGAACATGAGCACCTCGGGTTTAGCCTGGGCGCCCCTTAGAACCTTCAGGAAAACATCTTTATGGGGTGACCTAAGATGATGCGAACCTTATGCATGAGCCGCCTGATCCTCGGGGTGACCTCAAAGGGACGATCCTGGGCTATTCCCTCTGAATCCGGATCACCCTCGAGGGCTTCGCCCTCTTCGACGTCGGCCGGATAGCCCCCGGCGAGGTACAGCCCTGGCCCCCAGCATCTCTCGCAGCCCTGACCTGTCCTGAAGACGTCTCTGGAAGGGCCGCGTTCACGCTGGCCCGAACGGCCTCGGCCAAGGCTCGGGCAAACTTTGGCGGATACACTCGAGCTCTAGCTGTCATGGAACTGCCAATCAGATGAGCGCGCCAACGGTCACCAGCGCACCTAGATCCTAGACCCGGCAAATCGCTCCAAAAAGGCATCGCAATTAGACATCAGCCACGTGGGCTTCTTCGACAAAGTCCCATCTTCCGCCACCGATAAACCGAAACGACAGAGATCGACACGCATGGACCCAATCCCAGGAATGCCCTGCACATAGCGGACCATCTCGGTTCTCCAAGACCCCGCGGAGACCGGATGTTCGAAAGCAAACTTTCTCCCCTGCCGGTGCTGTTCTAAAGCCACCTCCATCGCGAAACCAAGCAGAACGACAGCCTCAGCGTTCTTGCGGCGCTGCTCCGGAGTCGTTCCTAGATGAGCGGTGGCATTGTGCGTTATGGAGAAGGCGTCGCAGGGGGTTCCAGGATAGTCATCCAGGGTTTCCGTTTTCGCTGAAAAGTGCGGAACTCCTGTCTATGCTGTGGATTTAGGAAGCCATCCTCCTTCCTTGCCGAAGCTGCCCAGGCACACCGCCCCGGCGCGGTCAGAGTAGTGAGCGATCCTAGGATGAGAAAAGACCTCGAGAAAGGCCTGGCTCCTAAGCTGGGCTCTGTAAAGCTTGGTCTTGTCGGAACATCCCCCCCCTCTCCTAGTTTTCTCCTTTCCCCTTTCGTTAGGTACACGTCTCGACCATCGGACCACTGATCCCCGAAAATGGTGTCGATGAGCTCCCGGCAGTGGAATTGGGTTTTCCCGTCCTTTTCCTGGATCTTTTCAACCTCGAACACCCTGCCCAATTCCTGAAACCGCTCATCTGAATTAATCTCAAAAATGTTCCGGTGATTGGGGCCCCCTATCCTCGCACTGGTGCTGTCGCGGAAGCCCGGGCGCCGGCTCAGGTCCACTTGCCGCCGCCCTCGTGGCCCCACGTCTTCCACCCAGTCTGCTCCCACCCCTCCTTGGCCAGACGCTTCTTCTCGGCGTCCTTCATCTGCTGCTGCTGCCTCCAGGCCGCCTCCTCCGGGCTCTCCGTCGGCATCCACGGGTCTCCCTTGGCTGACGAAGGCCCCGCCGCTGGAGGCCTCGCAGGACGCTCGACCCTCTGTTGAAGTTGCTGCCCGCCGTCCTGCATCGGGCCGCTCTGCGCCCAAGTGAGCTGCTGGGCGGACACCGCTGGAGCCGTCGCCGGGGGTTGCTGCTGAGCGCCCCCCGGCGTCGATGGCATCGCGAAGCTGCTGATCGTGGACGACGAGAGGAGAGCCCCCTGCTGACCGCGAAGACCCCGAGGGCTGTCCACCCTGGTCTTGGCGTAGCCGATCGGCGGAGGCCATGCCGCACTCGAGGTCCGATGAGTCACTGGGCCAGCGCCGTGCGACGGGTAGGCGTTCACCGCTGGAGCCGCGCCGACGAAACCCCAGCCCCCCTCCTGAGTCGCGGCCGCGGCCGCCGACGGAGTCCCACACCTCGGAGAGGGCAGAGCTGCGATCGAGATTCCGTGAGGCGGCGTCTAGAGCGGTGGGGGCTGCTGGAGCGCCGGAGGGGTGGCGATGCTGCGATGCTCCGCTCCCGCCGGCGCCGGTGACGGTCTGGCTGTGGCTGGCCCCTGCCCCGGCCCCTTGTGCTCGTGCTTCACACTCACACTTCCCTCTGGGGTTGACGCTTCCGCCTCGCTCTTCCGACCTGGTACCATGGGGCGCCTTGGGCACCGGCTCCCGGGGCGCCTTGGGCACCCGCCCCCGCGGCACGAGCGGGGGCGGCGACTTCGTCGCGGCGGGTCCGGTCAGGACCTGCGCTGTCGACGAATGCGCCGAGAGCTGCGCCTTCGACTGGAGAGTCGCGACCGCCTCCATCTGGCCCGACACGGTCGCGCAGACCTGGTTGATGGAGGCCTCCTGCTGATTCTGCTTGTTGGCGATCTGCTGCAGGAGGCGCATTGTCTCGTCGTTGCCGTCGCCCGAGCTGGCTGAGGGTTCCATCGCCGCTCTCTTGGCTGGTGATGGCGCTGCCTGTCGGCGACGCTGGGCCCTCTGCTCCTTGGCCTGCTTCTCCACGTCGCGCATGATCACGTCGGGCTGATCTGACTCGACCTGCTGATAGGGTGCCCCAGCTGCTTGAGTGTCGGCCGACGCTGGCCACGGCGGCACCGCCCCCGCCGACGCCCTCGCCGCTGGCACTCCTGGCGGAGGAGCTGGGGCCGCCACCAAGGCCTGCCACTCTGGATCGGCCCCGCCCAGCTGGGCGAAACCCTCCCCGCGCAGCGAGCAGGCGGCGGTCTGGCGCATGCACGCGCAGGTCATCTCCTTTCTGGGCGTGGATTTGTCTGGCTTGGTGTCCTGGTAGGCGACCCGCATGGTGCGTAGCCCACACGCCCACCAACGCCCATGCCCATTGCTGCCAAACTCTACGTGGATGGGCATGCGGCGGCACGTGTAGAACTGCTGCGGGGTCACCCGCACGCGCTTGACGAGGTTCGTCGGCCAGAAACGGCGATTGATCATCACCCGGCCAAACTCGTCGGCTAGCTTGGAGAGCCAGAAGACCATGGCGCCCACCAGGGCCGCCCACGACCGCTGGCCGCGTGTCATGGACTGCGGTACTGGCGCTCCGGTGGCTGCGTAGGTCCACTGCTGGTGATCGCCTAGCTGCTCGCCCATCGTCGTGGGACGGTTGGCCCGGCGCTGCGCCTCGATCTGCTCCTTCTTCTTGCCCTTGGAGGTGGAGGAGCCGCGGGGGCCATTGGCCGAGTTTACACCCGGCGGCGGCATGGCTCGCTCTCACAGGTACACTGCAGAACCCGACGTAGCGATAACGTCGCCGGGAGATGTCCATGTCGGGTTCTCTGGGATAGCTGGCGGCTCGAATGCTGGAGCCCAGCCGCTGCGCAATGACGAACGCGATGATCCAGATGAACGATTGCGTCGCTTTGGCTGTCCCTCGTCTCTGAACCGACCGAAAATCACGAGCCCCTCGCCTTCCCGGTCGGCCCTGCCGTCGTACCCGTTCTTTTCCTTCGGTTATCCTAAATTCTGTACTGCTCTCCTTAGTTCGATCTGGGAGGACGCTAGGCTGCGCGAGCTCCGATCCGCACCCCTGGGAGTTCTTGTCTAGGCCACCCGGGGCCCCTCGAGCCCCCGAACCTCCCCGGGGCCCGGAGTCGGTCAGCTGTCCTGGACGCGAAGCCCCTTTGGGGTCTCGAGGAGGAGGGATAGAACAGGGCCCAGCCCTAGAGAACGATGACGGGGAGGCGATGGTGCACCTAGACATCGCCTCGCTCCTGAAATCTTGCTCTTTGACCTCCGGATCCTGGCTCAGCACCGAAGGGGGGCACTTGAAAACTGCTCCCGGAGTGGGCACTCCCAAATCGTCTAAGCGCATCGTGCGATGTCCAGTGGGAAGCCGACGCATATCAGCCTTTACCCCCAGACGCTCGAGCTCAATCTGATTCGTGCTTAAGTCGATTCTCGCTCCTAGCATCTCCTGAAAACCTACCGGGAGGAGGGGCGGCACGTCCTCTTTGAGGACGTCCAACTCGATGACCCCCATCTTCCCTTGGATGCCCGTGGGGACCAGGGCCGCGCTCAAAACTGTCGTGCCCCCCCCGATTCCCTGGGCCGAGCGATTTCGGTGGGGCACCTGGGGCACTCGCAAACCTCTCTTGCTCAGATGCTCGCAGCGCCGTTTCAAAGCTGGCATGCCGATCAGTCCTTGACCCGCTGCGGCATCGACGATCATCTCGCCGGGCTCGACGCTCACGAGGGCAACGGTGGCGCTGTCGAAGTCCGGGTCGTGGCTCTGGGTCGGGTCGAGGATGTTCGCATAGACGTGGGCGCTGACATTCGCGGCGGCACCTGCGGTTGCACTCTGGCCATTCCGCGCCGGACATTCACGAGACCAATGACCCTTCCGATTGAAATTTCGGCATCTCGTCCTCTTGATCAACTCTGACAGTGGAAGACGTGACTTTCTCGGCCTGACCTACCCATTGGCGGCGCAACGGCCGCGCGGCTGCCCGCGGGCCGGCCCCAGCGTGTCCTTACTGCGGTCGAAGAACTTGCGATCGACCTTCATCTTGCGCTTGAGGTCCCGGTTCTGCTTCCACGTTTTGCGCCCCCCCCCCCTGCATCGTCGCGAACGCCTGGGGAAGCTCGTCGTCATACAGACCCAGGCCCTCCAGCGCCACGTAGACCTGCTGCTCGCCGTCGGCGCCCAACGATGAGACGTCGTCGCCCTCCAGGTTGGAGTCGAGGTCGAGATCGCCCGCGTGCGCGGAGTACGCGGGCTCATCCTTGGGGGAACTATTTTCTGCCACGAACGATCTCTTCTGGAACGACAGATGCCCCCGGCGAGCGGCGTCCATCTCCCTGATCGCGGCGAGAGCCTCTGAGTAGGAGTCGCGGGTCTTCATCATGACCCTCATCAGCTGCTGTCCTCTTTCGTCGAAACCGACGCCTTCCTCCAGGAACATGAACTTCCAGTCCTCTGGGGCGGGAAGACCCAGAGTCGCTACCTTGTCGGATGCCAGGTCAATCCGGGCGGCGCACTCGGTGAAGCCCTCTCCCTGACACCGCCGGAAGGAGAAGAGGCACCCCCAACCAGCCTTCCTCTTCTCGTCGTCCAAGCGCTCTATGATCTTGTCGGCGCCGTTGTTGGAGGTGAAGACCTCATCCGACAGGTCGTCCATTTTCCTCTGGAGGTCGAGAGGAAGTACTTCGAGGATGCGACATGCATGCTTGCGAGCAGGAATATCCGTTAGCTGCCGCCAGCGTACTTGCTGGCGCCTCCACAGTTTGCACTCGTTCCAACTGCTCCAGGCGCCCGGGCCAGCGAAGTCCTTGCCCCGCTCGCCCCAGCCGCCCCAGTCCTTCCAGGCGGAGTCCCCCTTCCAGCTGTCGCCCCAGCTGTCCTTCCAGCCGGACTTCCACCAGCCGTTCTGGTCGGCGCTGTCCTCGACGCCATCTGAGGCGTCTCGCTCTCCGGCACGTCTCCGGCCCCAGGGATCCTCATGCTGCCGCGGATCACCATCTTGATCTGGTGCTGTCCAACTGACCCGCCCTTCGCCCGTTGCGTCGGTTCACCGACCTGCTCGGCTGGACTCTTGGACCTGGTCTCGCACCATCCTGATAACTTGCTGCAGCTGATGTGGCGACAATCCCGTGGCCGGGCCAGGCCTCGCGGGCGGCGGCGCCTCTGGCGGTGCCAGCCTCGTCGCTGTCACAACTCCATCTAGCAGCGTTCTGAGCTGCTCCTCCGAGAGGCAGAACTGGCCATCCTCGTCTGCCCAGCGTCTTGCTGTTCCCGAGGCTGCCACGATAGATCCCTGGCCTGCCGAGGCCGAGCTGTGAGGTGAATTAGCACCCTGCTCCTGGGACATCGTCGAGTCCGCAGAACCGAGCCTCCGCAGAGGCTCCGCTACCACTGTCTCCCCACCGACGTCGCCCCCAGATGACAAGGCCCCCCTTGCTCCGTCAGCACGGTCTCGGTCCCAGTGCGATCTCTGATCGCGCAGTGCACTTGCACTCGTAGGAGTAGAAGAGAGGAGTATGGGTCTCGGGATGGGATGGATAGTGAGTGGCTGAGGATTAACGACAAGTGTGTAGAAGAAGTATGGCCTTGAGCCAAAGTGGTTACGGAGGGGGCCCAGTTCCCGACTATATGGTTCAAGTCCGGGGGGGGGGCGAGGGCTACTCTCCTCACCTGACCAGTGAGCTAGAGGCGCTCATTCCCACACATGCGCGGCGAGGCAGCAGCGTCATCGGACGCAACGGCAGCAGCAGCATCGCAGTCAGCGCTGGCGGAGCAGCAGAAAGGCGACAGCAGCGGAGGGTGGGCACCGAAGTTACCGACCTGGGCGCTCCTGGGCAACAAACGCGGCGCCTCGGCACGAGGCTCACTCAGTGGCAGCAGCAGCCGAAGCAGACTCCAAGAAAGCCATGCACACGGACCTCCAGGGCCAGACAGAGCAGGTCATGAAAAGCGAGAGCCGCGGCCCCCTCAAGGCGCTCGCGGTGGTGCTGGCGCGCCTGGCCATCTCCGACAGCCGCGACGTGGCAGACCTCATTGGCGTTTGCTTCAGCTGTTTTCTTCGCCCCGCAACACGTTCAGCGATCCTGGCCCTTCAGCTTGCGGGCTACTAGTACGCGACCAGCCGCAAGGAGGCAGGCAAACATCACGAACACGGTCCTCCTTGGCCTCACATGTGGCTGGCATTCCTGCAAGCTCTACTCGAGCACACTCAGACGCCGTCGACCTCCAAGCAGGCATTCCAGGTTCACTGGGACGCGAACATCAGTGGAGACAAGTGCAGCCTGCAGAGCTTGCAGGACCAAGTGAGGTACTGTCACATCAGGCCCACGCACTACAACAAGCAGAAGGTGGATAAAAGTTCCAGCAGTTCAAGCTACAGATCATGCTGTCGGCGAAGCTCCAGGCCGCTCAGATCACGTGAACAAACCAGGTCGTGGGCACGGTGCACCAGGCCGTCTGCGAGTCTCTCCACGCCGTGGGAGGCAAGTTCAAGCCAGGGGATCCACCGAGGGGCGGCCCCGAGAGGGAAGCCGAGAAGCTGCTTGACATGATTGGCATGCAGAAGGGTTCGACCGACATGGCGGTGGACAGCGACAAAGAAGCAACGCAGTTCTGACTCAGATTGCAGGCTCGGAGAGAATGGCGATAATGGCTCGCCAGCACCTACTCCAGCAACAAGGGCTGACTGCGTTGCAAAACCATTCTCACACTCCCATCCTCCAGTATACCACTCCCTCTGGCCAGCTCTTCCACACGTTCTATGCCCCCTCCGCTTGATCTCGACATGTTATTGCTCGCTCTCGCCACCCGTTCAGCGAATGTCCGAGGGGCAAGACTGCACAATGTCAGCGCACAGCTGGTCGCGGCCAGCGATCGTGCACAGACCTTGCTCGCGCCCACGTCTCATCCAGCCGAGTCGTCAGCAAGCCAGGGTCTTGGGGGCAGCGATGAGAGGACCAACGCTTCGTGATAGCGTGCCTGCGGGTTGAGTCTTTCTCTCTCTGAGCCTCCCCCCCCTTCTGTGCACAGTAAAATGTGTATTTGCTTGTAGCAGCAGGGAGGATGAGGGTCGCAAGCGTGTCTTATCTTATATGATCCTCCTCCTCCTCCTCTTATTCCTCCTCCGCTTCCTGCTCCTCCTCCTCCTCCTCCTCCTCCTCCTCCTGATCCTCCTTACAGCGTTGGCCCCACAGCGCAAGCGCTCCGGTGCGTGGGCCCCAGCATGCCTCGCCGGCTTGATGCGGGAGGCATCGCTGTCAAACATGGCTCAACAGTCGCGCACCTCCTATCGGTCTCGGACGCGGCCTGGCTCATACTGCAGCTGTGAGGCATTGCAAAGAGCATGGCGAGCACGATGCCATCTATGGCTTCGAGCAGGTCTGGCACGAGGCGAGAAAGTCCTCGGCCTCAAGGACAAGGCCTCGTCCGAGGATGTGCGCATGGGCGTGGTTGCGAGGGGAGAGGGGAAGTTGGCCAAGAGGTGGTGCTCGGCCCGAGCCTCCAGGAGGGCCGAGGCCGATCCTGACCCGTTCATCCACGCAGACGTCATGGACGCGTTGGCGCAGAACTCCCCAATGTCCGAACAGGCCCAGAGCGACATGGAGAGGCAACGGTCGCACAAGCAGCAGCACGTGCAGCTGAAGATGAGGCAGTCCGAGGTGCTTACCGCGAGCCGAAGAAGACCAAGACGCAACACGAGCACGTTGAGAAGTTGGCGCAGCTCGACTTGGTGGAGAAGAGGCTGGATGC